GCAGGCATGCATTTTGCTCGGCGTTATAGTAGAAAGATGGGATGTATGCGTTACCATATCCTCTATCCTTCGACAACAAACAATGATCTGTCAGAAGAGGAAGAAAAGTTGGTCAATTTATCTTGCATTTCATTTCCAATATTAACAGAGCTATGAAGTGCGCCAATGTTGGCAAAACTAAGCTTATCATGGAAAAGCTGACTTCGCAGATGTAATTGAGAACAAATGAACAACGTACTTTCTTCACCCAGGTTAATATCAGCTAAAATAGAACAAAGAGCCTTTATTCTACCACTTAGCTTCTATTTGACACAATTCATCGACCAACTTACCATTATGTGAGGGTAAGTAAATGTTAACTGCATACGAGGGCATTGTCACTGAAATTAAAAACAAACTGTAAGGCTATCAAAGTTTAATGAATGGGAACATATTAAATTTTTCTATGCATAGAATTTAAAAATCAATCATAGAATGTGATTCATATTTATATAATATTACTTGAGTTGATGACGAGGAAAGTAAGTAAAATTAAGACATTCATCATTTTCATCGAGATATAGCAGATTAAACATGGTGAACTGAACATTTATATTTGCAGTATTTCACCTTAAGGAACATTAAAACAAATTATCATATTTGCATAACTTAAGGGTTCATTCAAGTAATGAATGCATAATGAGGTTAGCATCAAATATTAATATATAGAGCAGTTAAAAATTTGCTCTTTGCTTATGCACTTTTTAATAGTAAATTAAATTGAATGAAGATTTAAACGGCGGAAAATGATTTGCTCTTGGTTAAAAGTGCTACATTACAGACAAATCTTCTTGCGTTTAAACTAACTCGAAATTGCATAGAAAATTTGAAACAACTTATTCAAAAAATGTAATTCTAGGAATGATAGTCTATTTCATTAAATGCAATACGTCATTGCAATACATATTAATTACATTTTGAGAATTCTAAACTTATATATTTATAGTGACCTGACAACAAATTTCCACTAAAATACTCTAACGAACTACCATTTCTCTCCACGATATTACTACTGCAATGAGTCAACATTTTTTCTGTGGTGATATCTGCAAGGGTTGTTTTTCTTCTGTGCATTCTAATAGTTTAATAGGTAAACTAAATATTTGAGGTTATCATGCGAAATCAAAAACTCCACAAACACGACGATTAGATTATGTTGACTTTAAATGTATTCAAACTTGAAGGTAAAAATGCGGAATTAATCCTACGGAGAAATTTGTACCTTTCATCACTGTATATAAAGAAGGGTTAAAATCGAGTGTATGCTCAATTCTTCGGCATCATTACTCCTTGCGAGTAAAAACGTAACGTTCACCACAAATCCAAAGTTAATCTAGTAATTTGGAGTTTCATTGGTCAATCAGATAACTATATGTAATTTGACATTGACTATAAGATTTCATGAAAGCTTATATAACACGGAATTAATGTATGAAAGGCAATCTGATAAATAAATGAATAGTCTAATGGATCTCCAACTTGAAACCGATTGAACTGGAGATCAGATGAAGCTGGAATCTCCATATCCTCTGAATCTTGCGCCAACTGCCAAAATATTCTTTCATAAAATTGAGTATTCTACCTCTTGGTGGGCCTTCGCTTAATGTGATACGATCGTTTCTCATAATCAAGCATATTTTGTGAGAATTAAATGGAATTATGCTTCTCGGAGTCAACAATGATTCAAGCATTTGCATAGAAGGCAACTCAACGTATTTGGACTAAACACGAAGATGAAGTTAGAGTTATTTGAAATGAGACTGAATACGTTAAAAATTTCAAAAATTATAATTTGAAACTAAATATATTGGTGATCATTTTAGTAAGGGCATATTCTCAAATTCAGCGAACAATTCTCCCGTAAATTTTATGTTAGTCCCGTTGTTTACATAATCTAACTATCTCCTGATTGGTACCATGCCACACTTGAGTCTGTTTTAAAAAGAAAGAAAGAACAGAAACGAATACCAAAATTATTTAAAAATAGCAGTAATTAAGATTGGTGTGCACCTAAATATTAATCAGGCAGATGGGTACATGGAAGACCATTCCAGATGTGAACTGCTCACCCTAACGCAGAACAAAAGGCTTTCTTGTCACAAGTAATTTGCTACGTGTTCTTTCGAGTTTTTCAGAAATATTAATTCTTTGTTCACCATAACTATTCCTGTTCATGGAAATATAGTTGCATACATTTGGTTCGAAAAGTTATGCACCGGAGAATACACTTCCTTGAATTCAAAAAAATTGATTTCGAAAGTCTCTTTCAGGAAAGTCAATAGTTCCAAAGTAAAGTCATATCTTTTCATAAAAAAACATATTCTTAAAATATTCCCCAAAAAATAAACAAACGGTTCTATTGACTTCAGTGCTAATTATCGATTTTAATATTGGTCTGTTTACAATGGCGTAAATCTTAAAGCGGTATATTTACTGTTACCTTTGACAACGGAATGACTTTTTGCAAAAGACGTCTTTTAGATTCCTGCGGAAAAATGCGACAATGTCGCCTTCTTTTTGTTAGTCATTTAGGCCGCATGTGAAGTGTTTAAAGGAAATTACAATTGTATGGTTATGTTTCATTGGAATTGAATTATGCCACACCTATAATTTAATAACTGAATTGAGATTAGAATATTGGAGTCCTGGTTATTAATGGTAATAACTATTATTCAGGAGGGCTTTATCTTGATGCTTTATTTAAACTTCGGGAAATATTTTCACGTTCGTTCGCATCCGCGATATTCTGGTAAATTTTTCGATCAAAATTGGACTTTGCTAAAATCAATTTTTTCCAAAGATTTATAAGGTATTTTTTGAGGAAAAATAACAAAAACATAAATCCGTTAAGTATCAATGGAAAATATCAATATGGGCCCATAGAAAAAGTGCGTTTAATTGTTAGTTGAGGAGACTTTGCGATCCAATTGGGCAAGTTTACTGGTATTTTCGTGGAAACCCACGTGGGTTCAATGGGATCCTTATAGCCCACTCAGATTTGTTGCAGTTCTTCATGGAAACTAATAATAAAGCTCTTTTTATTATGGAGAATTTGTGGCAATGTGAAATAATGTAAAATATTGTTGAAACAAATAGTTTTAGCCATTTGAAGTCATTGATTTCAATCCACTTCAACAAATATAGTGCGAAGACTTCCTCGGTCAATAAAATATATTGGACTCAAGATGTTTCAATTTTTTCACAAATTTTGAAGAAACTGGAAAAACATTATAAGTATTACTGTTAAAATTTTGTAACACTTGACTGGAAGAGAGAATATGCTTATTCATAAATCTTTTCAGAAACATTATGATCCAAGTTAGAATTTCGGAACGACGTATTACTCACATGCAGAAATTTATTAAAACACAAAAATGTGACTTTTACCTTACTTTTTCAAATAATTAAAGCAATTTACACTCAATGTGCACTTTGAATGCAAAGGCCATTGTTTTCCGAATTTCTAGATCCAAGATTTAAAGGTTTTTCCTAAACCCCCAAAACTTAGGTTATCACTTTAGCCTGCTTCGGTACGTGACTTATTTAAATTCACTTCAAACACATATTGTTAGGTGTGTCCCTAAAAGTGAAAGAAAAACTTAAAATGAGTAAATTATTTTAAGCCATTACTTTTTCTACTAAATCATAAAATTGCATTTAGCGTAATTAACGTCGTTCATATTCCTCATTAAAATGACCTCAAAATATAAGCTGATTATAATATTTGTTAAGGGTATAGACTCTGTTAAGAGGCTTATTTCTACCTCAAAATTGCCTCCAACCTCAATAATTTGCATAAAGATGCCTCTTTCCCTCAGGGTGGTTTAAATGCTATATTAAGCAAGAAAAACAGTAACATAATTTACTACTAGGCATGTCTTATTACCTCCTTCTATTCTTCCTTGCGTTAGCAGCCTCGCCTATTTTGGCAGGTAATTTTTGTCATTTTAATTTATTGTTTTCAATCATGGCATTAAAATTGCATTGGAGCAAAGTGCTAGTTTAGAGAACACAAGCATCAAATTAGTTTCGTATTTAGCTTAAAAAAAATGCAGAAATACTTCGTCATTATTGAATGAATTTAGTCGCTTTATGCTCTTAGAGATGAGTTTCTATGTCGAGAGCTGAAGCATGCTTCTGTGGAATACAAAGCTTGAAATCCTCCAACACGACTTCATTAAACTAGTGCATGTTTCAAATTTGGTTTGCTTGTTTACGTACTATTGCTTAAATGGTATTCAGTATGAAAATGTCTCCTTGAAAACGGAATCCCACCGAATTGAAATAGAAGTCGAATTGATAAATTGCTTCATTTTTAGATGTGATAAGAGTTGAGCCACTACTTTATCACGTTGGTATGTTATATTAAAAAATTATGTAATTCAACTTCAGATTATCCAAGTATGAGATTTATTAAAGGTTACGAAGATTATAATAATTTATTAAGATCTGGTGAGCCTGGAATTATTGTAAAGCATGTAGTTTTTGATGTTATTTAGTAATTTGCATTAAAAAATTCACCAAGTTATTTATATTTATCTTTATTTGATATTTGAATTATCCTGACATTATCAAGAGTTTTCGCTTCAATATATATAGCTTCTAGGGCACGAGTTTATTCGTCCGAAATTGAGGGTAAGTTATTGGTCAATTTCTTTGCAAATTATGGCATTTAAATGAAAACCCTTTTCATGTCGTTTTCGAACTGCCAAAGAACAAGTGGTATTTACTCCTAAAAATAATGGTACGTGTTAAGTCAAGTTAGCTAATTTTACTGAAAAATATCATTTTTCAGATATGGTTTACTAATTAATGAAGAAGGGTTAACCTCTTCCCCCTCTTGGTCTGTACTGACAGTCAAATTAAAAATAAATCAGGATATAAATTTTAACTTCCATTATGTGTTTTTATCGATTTTATGCTCAATGAAAACTTTTTCAATTTCAGATTCAACGAGACGTATGAGGCGCAGTGAGTGCAAAATGACATTATATTTTAGTATAAGCTTTCTCATTAATAAATGACTAAAATATTTTGTTATATGAAATATTATATTAATTACTTATCATTTTAGATTTCAATAATTATGTGGATTTCAGTAGAACTATGAGACCTTAAGTCGATCTTACAAACTCTACTTTAAGCAGTGGCGACGGAAGGTGAAATACAGTTTTAGGATAGATATCAAGTGTTCGAATGCTAAAATTCCAAATATTGCACAGAAGTTCATACTTGTTTCAGTGATTGAACATGATAGGTTTGTGCAAGAAATGTTTCGAGATCCTTGTTCCAATGTTTCAATTATAAAAGATGTCATCCACTGCTGCTTATTCTATTCATTGTATTTCAGTAACATTTGGTAAATAAATGTTGCTGACATTTAGCTTAAGTGTAAAATTCGAATTAGTTAACCAAGAATTTTATTTAATTTTTTAATCCCAATAAGAAAGAAATGAATCGCTTTTATTGGCAAGAAACAGTTTTTATATATCGGATCATTATTACAGTGATGACAAACGTGTTAACTTAATAAACTAATCAACAATTTTTAGCGTTCCCTTTGTCTTTTAGATCCTGAAAAGCGCGTAATGCAAAGTAAATTTTTTTAATGAAGTTTATGATCATAATGTACACATTTGTATTAACAGTTTCCTTTGATTTTAGTGATGGAGGAAGATGATCCTTTGACTTTTGGTAAATAATATAAGTAAAACGCTAATTGTAATTATAAATATTTTGAAATTGAGTTTAAATTATATCCTAATTTGTAATAAAGTTGAGAAAGGAAGAATAGTTCATTCTTTTAATCTGTTCGTGCTAAATTCAATTTGCACGTATTTTAACAATTACGAAGTACTTTGTCTATTTCAGAAACAGCAGAAACGGATTTGAATAAGAGACATGGTAATTAAGTCGCCTTTTCTAATTATTAAATGGACAACTAATAATAATTTAAAAAACCTAAATTTTATCTTTTTAAAACGTCAGCATGCTCGTGATATGTACTTTTTGGGTTCAAAATTTGCATATTTGGGCGATTATTGTTGTGCTAGTTTTAACCATGCTACAATTTGTCCTGTTTTAGGGTTTAGACATTATCACAAACGCGACCCTGGAGGTATGGATCTGTCAGCTAAATGAAATTTAATCAAAAAACAACTTTATCAATTAATTTAGTAATTTAATTTATCTATTTATTATCACCTTTTCAGCTCATCGAACAGAAATGTATGATGATCTCTCATCGATCTATGTTTTTGGCCGACCAAGTACAAAAAAATTTTATAAATAAAAGTTAACTTGGCATCTCGTTTTAATTACCTTTTTTCGTTGACTATAGATTCTGGCCCAAGCAGTGATAGAATAGGTAGAGTTAATATTTATAAATCAAAGCTTCTATGCTAAATAAATATTTATTTTTAAATTTTAGTTCATGTGGACGAGAATGATGATAGTAAGTAACCCAAATAAATAATCTTTATTCCTATTTGCTTCATTTATAAAAATTATCAACAGTTAATATTATATATTTTTTAAATCGTCACACATTTGTCACTTTCCTTTCATTGCGGAGTGAAATTAATTAAAGCCTTTTCTTACATTTAGGATATACTTAAGATAGTTAAACGCAGTTGTACTGATGTTATCAACTAAAAAGGAAGAAATAAATTTATCTTTACATTTTAGCTCGCAATATACCCAAATTCTGTACTCAATTCTATAATCCTGGATTAGGTGATGCCAGCCTCGAAAAGTTCTACTATAGTCTTAAGGACAAAACGTGCTTGCCTTTCCTCTATGGCGGTGCTGAGGGGAACAAGAATCGTTTCGACTCTTTCGATGACTGCATGCGTGTCTGCAATGTGAACTACAATGTGGAGTCATACTAAGCCATCGACTTAGACCCTCGTAATCACAATCAATTCTCTGGCGTTTGAAAATTAATCCTCCCAAGTTTTACTCGCCTCCTTACCTTTTTTCAATAAATGTGATTTTAACCTATTTATCAATGCATTTACGCTTCTAATTTAAGGATAAATATTATCTTACTATTGAAAAATAAATTTCATGAAATTTATTAACAGATAAGGCTCCTATGAGATATGTCAGTGTACCATCACGTTGTGAGAGGGAAATGTGCGCTTCAATTAATGCTAATCATGAAAAGTATGCTCGCTTGCTTACTTGCTTCAGAAGCCTTGACAAATAACAGTTGAGTGTGAAAGAAATCGGAATTTGTAAGATGGAAGATATTCAACCAAAAGTTTGTTTATATCTTCTTAGGCAAAAGGATTTTTGCACAATGTTAGGTAGTGAATTTGATATGAATTGATAGTTGCATGAGGAGCAAAATAAGTGTATTTATGGCAGTAAAGAGCATAAAAGTTTAACGTTAATTTGAATACGTGTTTGGAAGTTTCACGATGATTGCTTTACTCATAAACTACTTGCAAAATTTTCCAATATCATCATCCACAAACGTTTTTTCCAAGGCAATTCTCTTTCTCCAATCATCTTCACTGAAGTTCCAATACTGCGGCTCGTCAGTCTGCATTTCTTCGGGTATTTCTTCAGAATCATTTCCAATCGGAAAGGATTTTCGTTTGAAATAGTCTGCTTTCTCTTTACCCTCATTATTTTCTTCCATACCTAGGTAACTTTTCATATTCAAATTTTTTAGTCTTTCAATCTCTGCTTCTCTCGAATGATCCTCCATTTCATCGGAGTCGTATTCTTCCATTTCTTTTCCATAATTAACAGGGGTATGATTTGAAACCTCTTTGGAATCTCCATCCATATTATTGTCTGGGTGGGGCCGTTTGGCATTTTTTGTCTCTTCCTGTGGGGACCGGACTATGTAATTATCTTCATCATCCGGGTTTTTGGTTTTCTCGTTGTCTACTTGTTCATGGACTCCAATTTGATTTACCATAAGAGAATGAAAAGTTTTTAACAAATAATCTAAGCTTGTTTTCATGTTCTCAATATTTTCAATGCATTCAGTGAAATTGACCTCTTGATCTTTGCCTAATCTACGATAAAGCTCATCTTCGACTTTTTCCAGGTTTGGTTCGATTTCGGGAGATTGGTAACTGCTAAAATCACCGTCCTTTTCAATTGTACACTCGGTAGAAAACGTGTCTGTTTCAGACGATTCATTAGCGATAATTTCAATAGCCCTTGTCAAACACGTCCTCAGCTTCTCACGTTCCTTCGAAGATTTCATTTGAGCTTTCCGTAGGTTCGTGGATGGAGGGTACTTGTAAGCGAGTTACTACACGATATTCTTTTACTAAAATTGTCTTATATATTACATCCGGAGAGCCACCATGTGATGCCAACTTTTCTAACTTTTTTGTGTCAAATGATATTCGGTCTTTTTTTCATTAGCACATGTTCACCAGTGTATGAATGTAGCTTTCTTCTAGCTTCTGCTTGCTATTTATTAGATTAGTTTAAATTTCAGCCCTTACGGATCTGTGAATCGACAATTACTCCGCTTTTTTTGTATTAGCCTGACACGGGGAGGATATTTCAATGGTCATATGCCAATCATCTATTTATAAAATATACAATGAACCAAACATTGTTCCCTAAAATCGCCGTCGTAAGTCACATGTATAAATCCTTCTATGCTCAAATTATAAGCGTATTGCGCTTATCTATGACCTGAGGAATATATAATTGTATTATGTCAGAACAAAGAAATCTCACACGCGCTCAAACAGGTTCAAAGGTGCGATCATGAAAGTAGAGACCTCTCAGTCAACTACCAATCAATAGTCCCTGTATTATTTAACAGGCCTTTAATTATATTTTAATGACTAAGTTTTATGTAGGACATGCAAACAAAATTAACGTATTTCACACATTATGACTGTTTCCTTTATATCATTGAGGAAATCTAGCTAACTTCGGAAGCCACTCCATACGAGGGAACCTTGCCATAGATATTACTGAGTATAAGTCAAGGCTTGCTAGTGTAGCCATCTATTACAAACGTAATTCAAAGTATTTCATGTGTATGTGATACATTCTTGTGAACTTGAATAACTACTATCTATAATGGAAGCGCAGTATAACTAAGGACGCAACATTGCTCTCTTAAAGACAGCCATCCGACAAATGACAAAAAATAATATCTATATAACAATAACGTGCGTAGAAATATAGCCGAGAAAATTTCAAGTAATAAGAAAACTGGAAATCCAACTTCATTTCAAAGATGATTATATATCGTTTGGTCCACTGTACTGACAGGCTTGGGTTCTGAAATAAATTACTACTAAATACTAAGTAGCAAGGTGAGCAGTAGCTTAAAACTCGTTTCATATATGAAGAAGGCAGTCTAATAAAAGGATGGGCAACTCAGGTTATTAACTGCAAACCTGGTAGTTTTTTGATATTACAATAGATAATGTAAAACACGAACAATTATATTACAATTTTCGTACAATCTGTATTTCCAAATATCAGAGAGTTAAAAGCAAAATTTCTCACAAAAATTATCAATAAAAACCCAGGCTTATTTGATTTGTTTGTTTTTTATTGAAGTTCATATCAATTCACCGTTCACATGATATCAAAAATCGCGTCGCATTTAAATTAATCCCTTTTCCACAAAACCAAAATTAAGTTAGAAAATATATGTGTGTGTTGATTACTTACAAAACCATTAATGTGGTAATGTCTTTGTTGTCATTAGCTGGATGAAAAGTAATCTGACGTGAATTCCATATATTTGCAATATGTTCAATATGCCGAAAACTATTAGGAATGCTTCATTTTTAACAAATAGGTGAAAAATAATTCCATTTACTATTATCTATGGAAGAAGTGGAAATAGCACTTCTTTCGATAAATAAAGATTTGCGTGACATTAAGATTTATCAAACTAAGTGATATTTTATGAATAAGAGCATTCATTAGAAAAAAATATTATAGCACTAAGCCAATCAAAATTAAAGGAAATGATTAGAAATGTCATTAAGCTAATAGTGGAATGAAGAAAATAAGACAATATGCAACAGATGTAACAAAATCGAACTGTGAACAAAACATTTGAAGATGGAAATTTAACCTCTTAAATTGGATTAAGAAAATATTAGGCAATTAGATATTTCCGTATATAAATCCTGAGATTAATGAAAATTTCAATTCGTCAGTATTTATCCACTAAAAATGCAATAAAAGGCAAAAATATAATTTATTTTTATCTTTATTTATTAGTTACATATTTTATAATGAATTTAAAACACGGGCATTTAATTCATTTTTACTATTCATTTGTTTGTTAAATTTATGTTCCAGCAAATATTTAAGGTAAACACGTTAGCCAATCACGCCCAACCGCTTTCCACCAGGTTCTGTCTCGATGTGTGCTGAAGTCGATCCTCTAACAGCCTTCTTGGCACTTATACCTTTTGCTGATCGTAAAAGAGCAACTGTAACAATTTTAAAGGTCAGAAAATATCTGAACGAACAAATCGAAAATACAGCCTCCTTCAGTCGTCCCGCCACACTTATACGAAATTTAAAACCAATATTTACCCACCTTCCGATTACATTACGGCGTTCATTAAAGGAGAAACTATTCACTGCTTTAGAGCAGTCATTGGAGAGTTCCGAGGCGCTTGCAGTTTTTACTATTCTTCTCTCAATTATCGAAACATATAGCATACGAAATTCTGATCGATGTGATCTCGAGAAAGATGACATCTTCAACAGCCTGTCTTCATTGATTCCAATTTTGAACAATATTTCTCAAAGCATTTTATCTCGGAATACCAACCTTCTGTCATGTCGTGCTTGGGTTGTTGCAATGTTGGTTTATACTTATCGAGAGTGTCTCATTTGGTATTCACGTCAGGATTGCTTAGACTTGACAAAAGAAGGCTTAGATGAAGTAGTTCCCATTGAATCCGTATTTTATGACTCTCCCAGTGTGCCAAAAATACTCAGGATTGCTCTTGATTGCCAACGAACTAACAAGCCTCCTCCTTCAACAGACTTTAATTACTCATTTTATGATTTGTTGCTGCTAAGTGCTTTCTCTGATCATGCTTCGAATTTTATTTTTGAGAATACTGCGTCTAACTTTCCTGAAAACAGATTTGATGAATCCTGTAATTCTCTTAAACTCCCAGTTTCAGTAAAGGTTCATTCTAAATGCCAATCGTTACTTACACTGCAAGAAGTTCAAAAATCAATTGAATCAAAAGATCTGATGAAAATCCGTGGAAACCTAGAGCTAATCGAACGCTATATCCTCGACAATGTTCCGCTGCAAGGAGATTTTAAACAAATTTGCAAGGAGATGATTAAAAGCGCGCTTGTTATTATGGACACCATGATGAGGAGGATGGAGGAAATTGAGGTTCCTAATGATTTGTTCTCTCTCTATACTGGCCTTCTGTGTGGCTTCTTACGTGTTTGGATTCATTGTTTGGAGAGACGACTAGTACTTCAAGAAATACCTCAATCATATCTCTATTTATGCTGCTTCATGAATATTCGATATCAAGTATGTTTATTATTGGTTTGATTTTAGTTAGGGAATTAGCTACAATTTAGGAGTCACTAGATTAAGATATATGAAATTTCGAAGGTCCAGTTTGAAAGGTGATAGAAATTTATGTTAATAAAGAACAGAATAAGACTCCATACGTGACAAATTCGGAGCGCCGAAAGGTCACCAAAGTCTATGCTCATCTTTCTCGCATTTTAGGATATGATTTTGAAAGATTTTGTGCAGTCCATCTGCGTCGTATCCAATTTTCTCACAACATATGGCAGAATATTCAAGGCGCATATTCTTGCATCTCCACATTGGTTCTTACAGATGCTGAAGGACTCGCTTACGGCAATTTTTGATAGGCTTTCATCAGGTAAGCTATTTTCAGCATTTTGTCTTCAATCTGTATTTATGTTAAGCTGGTTTTGCAAACATCAAACTTGCTTTGAACCTTTCCATTCAGTGTCATATTTACTAGGACTTTTGTGAAATGTAGTCTATTGAATTAATATTTACCAGATCAAAACTCAATTGGATTTAGCAGCCATGCATGTGTAAAACTAAAAGCAAATTTGTTCTTACCTTTTTTGTTCAAAATTTCACGTTTTTTTTCTACTTGTCATCAAGATGCCTAGCTGTATATTCTTACGTCTAAGTCATGAATCTTAAGTGCATTTCATGTTTCTTTAGGCTCTAATTAGGGGTTTTGCCCTTTGATGGTTTCTTTAAAGTTTACTTTGTAAGAATTTAGCTTTTTTCATTGAGTCTGGCTTAATTGAAAAATTGCATTAATGTGACCAAACTTTAGCGAATGAAACTTTCATGAGTATTTCCATAACCCGCACTTTATATTTAAATAGATACACTTTCATCATTCCGGTTTTAACTTACTGATAGTTTTATGAATTTTTTTTATTATCGCTGTTATCTTGAAAAGACGGATCAGATTTCATTTTTTCCCTTTTTTGCATATATAATTATATTCTTTTCTTAAAGGTTCGTCGTTCGGCATTTTTCTATCTTTAATCTGTTGCTAAGTGCATTTGACAACTTTTTTTCAGAATAATATTGAAATCTATGAAATATACAAAATGTATTTTTTTCCACATCTCTTGACAATTCTCACCATAAATTTTTTTATTATACTGGAGTATATTTATTTATATCAAATGACAGGCGTCTTGATGGTTATCATTAGCCCTTTAGTTGACTTCAGACTTCACAGAGGGGAAGGAACATCAAATTGAAAAAGTCGATAGGGGGGAAGGGGGACAGAAGAGTGTTTCAAAGATGTAAGAGACAAACACAAAGGTAGAAAAAAGGTGAGGTGAGTACTGTGAAAATATTCGAATGTGGCATAGAGTGAGGTGATGGTAGTTTGAAGTGAGAAGTCAACTGCCAGTCAATAGACTTTTTTGCCGTATGGATATACGTTGCCCAGGGTGCACCACGTGGAGGTAAGTCTATCGCACACCCCATACTAGAGTATATAGATTTGTCTTAAATTTTTGCTTATCAACGAAATCTTGAACCTTTTACTTATAAGATGTTAGTAATATATAAATGTAATTTTTTAACAGCCACAGATGAAGAAGAACTGACTACACTCGAATATGCAATATGTCCTTGTATCGCATCAATCAGCCGAACATGGGCAAGTCTCCATGCTGAAGAGCCTGACACGCGTCCAGAGTTGTCGCGCAGTATTCAGGGT